ATATATTTTCCATAACGGTTATTCCAAATATTTCCAATCTCCCTGTTTTTCACAGGTAACTCCATTTCCTTGTTTACTTGGGAAAACGTGGGTGTCAGATAGAAGTTTCCATATCGTCCTTCCTTTTCATACAACGTTGTACTTTTATTACCGTTCCTTTCTTCTGCTTTTAGAAATATGTAATCTTTATTTCTGGGGCTAATACCATCCCCTGATCTCTTTGAGGTCATTTTCTACTATTCTTGTAGTCTCTTGCTTTATAAACTACCTGTGTTTCCATCTGTGATATTTTTAATTGCTTTAGCTCCTTTTCTCTGTCTTATACATGTACAGATCTCAACTTTAAAAACACTGCCACTTGATTTTTCTGTCCTTTCTAGGTACCTTTCTGTTTTCTTCATTCCCTTTATGGTCATACATCTCTGATGAGGGATTATAATTAATATATCTCCTTGACTTCTGGTTTTCTTTTTCTCTTTAACTTTTTGTTTTTTAGAGAGATTTTTAATATAGGGCATGTATGCTCTCTGGAAAGACAGAGAGACAGAAAGTGAGAAATCACCCCCCCAGGGGAGAGGGGCACGCACGCTCATGTGCCGAGTGTGAGTTTTAAGTCGCCGGGTATGGGACTCAAACTGAGGCTGACTGTGGGAGTCCAGCGAGGTAACCATTATGCCATCTGCTGGTTCCTTCTTTTTATTTTTTAAAAAATTTGCTATAGCGTGCATGTACTTGCCAGAGACAGGGGTGGGGAAGAGAAAGAGAGAGAGAGAGAAAGTGAGAAAGTACCTCCAGAGGGATGACCATGTTGCAGTCCCTTCTCTTCCATTCTCTCCAGATTTGGGGCACGTATGCACATATACTTGGTGTATATTTCAAGCCACCAGGTCTAGGATTTGAACCATGTGGAATCCACTGCCTTGACTACCATGCCACCCACTGGCATAATCTTCTGGTTTTCTTTTTTTTCTTTTTTTTTTTTTAAGGATTATTTAATTTTATTCATTGTCATTATTTTATTTTATTTTTTTGAAGGGGACTAGAGAGAGCAAGAGAAGGAAAGTGAGAAAGCAAGCTGCCAGGTCCAAGACTTGAACTGCAGTCAGCCATGTGGGTGTCTAACCACTTTAACTACCATGCCACCTGCTGGCCCCATCTTCTGGTTTTCTTAAAGGCAATGCTGTTCTGGGCCAGCAGGTGTTGCTGAAGTTAAGGTGGCTAGATCTTACATGGCTGAGTACATGGTTCAAGTTCTAGACCCAGCAGCTTGAGAAACACACTGGGCACGTGTGCATGTGTGCCTAAAGTTCCAAGGGGAGAGTGGAGGTGTGTGCACCCACCAGAAAGACAAGGAACTGCAGCATGACCATCTCCCCTGGGGTGCGTTTTCTTACTTTCCCTTTCTCTTTCTGTCTCTCTTCAGCAAGCACATGTGTCCTATAGAAAACTTACAACAACAAAAAAGACAACGTGTTCTAACATTTAGTAAAATATTCTAGAAGGTCACTAATAGTTATTTGAATCCCTGACTTCAAAAACTTTCTTGGTTCTCATTTTCTTTGATCTTCCTGGAATGTTTAACAATAATGATAATCCCCTTTCTTTTTATAATATTTATTATAGTTTTTGATTTACCTATAATTGTAGGTAATCTCCTTTGAAATTATTCCCTGCTCTCTGTGATACACCTCTGTCCAGATGGCCTCTCTGATGTTGTCTCGTTCCTCCAATCCTCTAATATGAATTCTCAGAATTTTTTCCTTAGCTATTAGTTTTTTTTGTTTGTTTGTTTGTTTTTTTGAGAGGTTTTGCTATAGGGCGCATGCACCCGCCAGAAAGACAGAAAGAGACAGAGAGACAGAAAGCGAGAAATCACCCCCCCAGGGGGGATGGCCATGCCGCAATCCCTTCTACTCCATTCTCCTCTTGGGATCTTGGGCACACACACACATGCGCCTGGTGTGAGTTTAAGCTGCCGGGTCTGGGACTCGAACCGCAGTCAACTACATGGGAGTCCAGCTACATAGGCATTACGCTAACTGCTGATCCCAACTATTAGTTTTTAATATTTTTTTCTTAAGGATTTAATTTTGTCATCTCTACCGTTTACTTTTATGAGCATAATGCCAACAACTGTCTTTTATTTATTTTTGTTGATCTTTTTTATTGCCAGAAGGTATGTACACTTACCAGAGAGAGAGGGCAGGAAGGGTAAAGTGGGAAGAAAGGATCCCCAAAGGGACACCGTCAAGCTGCAGTCCTTTCTCGTCCATCCCTCCTTCCTTCAGGATTTTGGGCATGCATGCATACCCACCTGGTGTGTTTTTTCAAGCTGCCGGGGTTGAGACCTGAACCATGGTTGGCCATGTGGGATCTGGCTCCCTTAACCACTAGCCTACAGAGCTGACCTTCACCACCTGTCTTTTTGATATTTCTCTCTAGTGAGTGCACACACCCTGTAGCAAAAATCTCTCTTTATAAAACAAAAAATCTTGGGGCTGGCAGGTGGTGTGGTGGTTAAGGGCACTGAACTCCCACATGGTTGATCACAGTTCGAGTCCCAGACATGGTGGCTTGGTTTTTTGCTTTCTCTCTCTCTCTCTTACTCTGTTCCTCTCTGGTAAAATTAAAATAAATTAATAAATAAAGTTAATAAAATAATTCTCTAGAAAAAAAATCTTGATAGCCCTATATCAAGTTTAAAAATCAAATTAGTGGGACCAACAATTAGCGTAATGGCTGTGTCGCTAGACTCCCACGTAGTTGACCACAGGTTGAGTCCCAGACCCGGTGGCTAAAACTCAGGCCGGGCACATATGCATGCATGCCTAAGATTTTGAGAGGAGAATGGAGGAGAAGGGATTGTGGCATGACCATCTCCCCTGGTGGGTGCTTTCTCACTTTCTATCTCTCTGTCTCTCTGTCTGTCTGGCGAGCGCACGCACCCTATAGCAAAAACCTCTCCAAAAAAAGAAAAAAGAAAAAAAAATCAAAGTAGTCAAAAATTTTCCCACAAAGACAGGTTCAGGCCCAGATGGCCTTACCACTGAATTCTATCAAACATTCTAAGAAAAGAGAAGAGAACATTTCCAAACCCATTTTATGAAGCCAGATATCAAAGGCAAACAAAACCATCACAGGAAAACTATAGTTCAAATTCCCTAATAAATTTAGATGCAAAAATCTTTAACAATATATTAGCAAATTGAATTCAAGAAAATGTAAAAACAATTTATACAATTTGGCTACCAGGAGTTTTGCTTAGGAATCCTAGATTGATTTAATGTCTAAAGATCAATTAATATAATACACTGTGGTTAATAAAATAAAGAAAAAGAGTCAAAATATGATTGTTTCAATAGATGCAGAAAAAGCACCTTTATTTTAATTGTCAGAGGGCATCAGTACACTCACCTCGGGGGTTCAGAGGGTGGAGGGTGAGGAAAACAGGACAAAAGCACCCTCCCAGTAAGTGTGGTCATTCTGTAGTCCCTTCTCCATTCCTCCATTCTGTTGCCTTGCAGGGCTGTTCTAAGCATTAGATTGTATTTACACTGTAGAGCATTATGAAGTGATAATTATACTTAACAGACCACCCAGGAATTGTGTGCCTTCTCAGTCCCTTAGATGAAGTGGTGTGATAGTCCACTTAGAAACTGAGTTTTGTCCGTGACACATGGTTGGGTATTTGGCCATCATTCTGGATCCACATAGCTGAGACTGTGCTTAGGTTTCCAGCCATGTTGCTCAATTTTACCCTGTGATCACCAGCAAGACATTTATTTTTCATGTCATGATTTACCTTTCTGTAAAAGATTACAACTTCTGGGACCAGCAGATGGCGTAATGGTTACATAATGGTTAACTCCCACATAGTTAACCATGGTTCAAGTCCCAGACCCAGTGGCTTAAAATGCCAGGCGCATGTACATGCGTGCCCAAGATCCCAAGAGGAGAATGGAGGAGAAGGGATTGCAGCTTGGCCATTCTTCTTGGTAGGTAACTTCTTGCTTTGTGTCTCTCTGTCTCTGTCCTGCAAGTGCATGCACCCTATGGCAAAAATCTCTCTCTCTAAAAAAAAATTACTTTCATTTGTCATTTTGGTGTATCTTTTTTCTTCTTCTTTTTAATTTGCTAGAGGGCACATGCACTTGCCAAAGAGAGACGGGGGAGAGAGAGAGAAAGAGTAAGAAAGTAACCCCCATGGGGGATGGCCACACTGCAGTCCTTTCTCCTCCATCTCTTCCTTCTTTCAAGATTTTGGGTACTCACACACGTGCCTAACATGGTTTTCAAGACACCAGGTCTGGCACCCAATTGCACAGTTGGCTATATGTGAGCTAACTCCCTTAACCATTGTGCTACTGGATGGGGCTATATGTGAGCTAACTCCCTTAACCATTATGCTACTGGATGGGCCTTTTTCTTTTTCATATTTTTTTTTTTTTAGAGGTTTTTGCTATAGGGCGCATGCACTCGCCAGAAAGACAGAGACAGTGAGAAATCACTCCCCAGGGGGGATGGCCATACCGCAATCCCTTCTCCTCCATTTGCCTGTGGGGATATTGGGCCACATACGCACACGTGCCTGGCATGAGTTTAATCCCCTGGGTCCAGGACTTGAACCGCGCTCGACTACATGGGAGTCCAGCGACATAGCCATTATGCAAACTGCTGGTTCCTCTTTTTCATATTATACAGTTTTAGGATGAATTTTAGTTATATCATATTGACTGTTCTTTGTTTTAAGTTTAATTATTTTTTCCACCTTTGGCCTGCAGCCAACCCTAGATAATTGGCAAGTATATGCCTGGTAGTATACTCAAGGAAGTCTCCAGATTTGAACCAGGAACCTTCTGGTGTGGGATAGCCTTGCAGAGCCATGAACTTTTACCGCTGTATCACCATATGGCCCCCAGTTGTTCTTTACAGTGCCATTTTGAGTATTTCAATATTGTACCATTGAATTTTAACTTTCTTTCCTTCACTTTCCTCTTAAGGGATTGCGTCAGCCAGCTCCTTTTTCTGATGAAATTGAAGTTGACTTTAGTAAGCCCTATGTCAGGGTAACCATGGAAGAAGCCAGCAGAGGAACTCCTTGTAAGTAAATACCTGCTTATTTCATCATTTTACTATCGTTTTTAGCATTCCGTTGTTTTATTAAATACACACGTTGTCACTGTGCACTTCCTTCAATTTTCTTATAAAGGCTAGTATGGGGAGGGGCTCCTCACACCTGCCTTGATGTTCTTGTTCCTGGGCTGTCATCACGGCTGAGAGATACCGTGGAGCAGAAACATAAGATGAAATGTAATCCTGAGCTGGATTTTGATCTTGTCCATTTTTATAAGTTCCAAATAATATGTCAGGCTGTCACATTTTCATAGCCTTCAGAATTTTTCCTACAACCTTAACTATGTTCTATCAGTTGGCTATAATGCTTCTAACTGATAGAGAACAAAATTACCCCAAGCTGGGTGGTGCTTATCATGTGATTTTTATCTACTGAAACTGTAGCTTTACATTTTTAAAAAAGATTTGCTTTATGATTTTCCAAGTCTGTATTCTTTATTTATATGTGTAATTTGCATCATTAATTCACAGGTTTTGATCATGTAAATTGTCAATGTGTATTCCGTATACATTTCCTGTTTGGGGCAGTTGGTTTTAGGGATTACTATAAGTAGAAACTTCCATGAGCAGGTGTTATGAGTACAACGTTGTATAGGCAGCTGTTTGTACTTCTCTGTAAATGTTCTAATTCTCTCTCTCTCTTTTTAAACCATTTTTCAGTTTTTCTGATTATTATAGTTAAGTATTTGCTTTCTCTATAAATGTAGGACTAGACTTAGACCGAAGCAAACACCAGAGGCTAAGAGGCCTATATATTTCCAGTAAATACAACATCTTTGTGCCCTTCCTAACTTCCTTTCTTCTTTTTTTCCCTTCCCTCTTTACTTTTCTCCCTCCCTCCTCTCTCTATTTGCTAAGGGTGCATGCTGAGAATGCATCCATCCCAGGGGGTGGTCATGCCACAGTCCCTTTTCCTCCATGTTTTCTACCTTCTGCTTTGTGGGCGTCCCATAAGTGTGGCGTGTTTTTCCAGCCACTGTGTCCAGGACTGAAGGCATCTAGTTAGTCATGTGGGATCTGGCTAACCCGTGGTTACTTGATTGTGTTGATGTGTGCTCCAGGTTTTAACTGGAGAATAGCGTAATAGGACTATAAATGACCTTGAACATTATCAGGTCAGGGATCCCAATTGTTACAGATTTTAGGTCCTTAAAAAAAAAAAAAAAAAAAGACGCTAGTTCCAGAGAATGCTTTCCAAGCGGTTTAACATAGCTTGTGTTGATCACAGCCCTTCTGATTCATGAAGTGATTTGTGAGTTCAACACACCTGATCTGAGTAATAGATGACAGGCCAAAGGGGGAAGGGTAGAATGACAAGAAAAACCAGAGGCTGTATAGAAGAGGGCGTAATGGTGGCAGGTCAGATTTCGACACGCCAGCAGACCGTTCAAGGTTCAGATTCAGATGTGATAGTGGACCTGTTGAGGGCAAGGACGGTTACGCACCGTGTGACGGCGCACATTCAGAACTGCGTGCCTCAGACCTGGTCACAGCGGCCACCTCGTCCCAGCTTCTTGCTAATTTATCCACTGGTCATTTGTGGTACATAAAAGCTGAAGATATATATATATATACTGTCTCTAAATTTTGAAGCTTTAACTAATCATTGTTTCTAAAAATCTAATTTTTAAAAAATTTAGACTAAGAGTTTTATAAATAACTCATTTTTGGAATCATGTACCTTGTAGTCTCTTTATTGTGTAATGAGGAAGTTAAGGTTCACAGAAACTAAGACGTGTCCCCTACAATAAAACAGATTATGTTAGTGATAGAATTGGAGCTAAAACTGAAGTCTTTTCATTCTCCTGTTCTTTTCACCTTGGAGGGATGCTACGCTTTGTAGAATTAGTTAAAAACAAAAGAAAGCCTTTGGCAAAATGATTACACATTAGGTGGAATCTGCGGTTGCAAATTAGCCTGTGGAGTTTGCCGGTCTAATTTGATCCCTGTTTTTTCCCTTACACCTCATTTTGTCTGTTCCGTTCTGTGTTAACTAGCTGAGTAGCTGACTTTATTCACGACAGTACAGGACAGGGAATACACCAATAAAGAATCTGTTCATGCTGTAGTTAGTGGATATTAGGGGCATCCCCTCCTACCCAGTTTTCACTAGAGATATTAAGGGAATTTAAGAGGAAGTTCATAGAATCTAGGAGAAAATTCTCTACCCAGAGAAAAACACAAATAATGACTTGAGAAATGATGCAGTTGGTTCTGGGAATTTTTTGGAAAAGAGAAAATAGAGCAAAACCAGCAATATATTTTACTCAGAGAGAGAGAGAGGAAGAGTTTGAAAGCCGGTGAAAATCTGGTATGTTTCAGTGATAGATATTTAGAGGAATATATCAAAAGAAACAATTTGAAACCCAGGTGGTTCTGCCCAAAGGACGCCGGGTTACTTCACCAGCAGTAGTGCAGCCATTTAATTTATAGCCCTAATCAGGACAATTTTCGGAGGGAAAAGGGGTTATTCTTAATATCTGTTGAAGGCCTGCTCTGTAGCTTAGTGGTGAAGGGAGTCAGGTTCCACGTGGCAGATGGCAGTTCAGATCCCAGCCATGGGGGCTTCAAAATATGAGGGGCATGTGTGAGTAGGTGCCCAAAATCTTGACAGGATGGAGAAATGGAGGAGAGGAGACTGAGACATCACTATTTTCAGCTGGTAATTTCTCCCCATCTGTCTCTCTGCTCTGCCCTCTGGCAATTAAATGCACGTATACATACAGATACACATACATATATATATATAGAGAGAGAGAGCGCATGAAGACAGACAGACAGACAACAGATAAAAATCAAGGAGTGTGGTTCTCCTTGCCAGTAGCCACTTAGCAAAAGGATGGCTAACACTTGCTTTCCTCCCAGACTGGTTCAACAGTGGTCTCTTCTGGCCATTTGGTAATACACCTGCCTGTGCTTGCCTAAGACTGAGGATTAAGTCGTAGGGGATCGAGGTGTTGGAGGCTGAGGAAATACTGAAGAGGGTAAGGGCATGTCCGGGGTTGGCACGAGAAAAGGTTCAGTGATGCTCTGTCTAGTATGGGATGACTACCTGCGCTGGCCACTCGGTCAACAGCCTTCAGTGCTACTCCAGCAGCCAGACGTTTCCTGAGCTCAGTCCCCTTGTTATCTTGCCCTTGCTGTATGTTGTCTAGCAGCGAAGAAACTACAACAGAGTAGTCTTCATTTTTATAGTCTAGTCTTGTCTTCTCAAATCAAAGTAAGGCCATAGCCTCTCTGGACTTGCTTAGGAAAAATGGAAGTACATTAGTTACTTCATGGTGATGGTTTCTAGGATAGAGAAGAGGAATTATACTATTCAGATTTTGGTTTATTTTGCTTTGTCTTATAAACAAGAAAACTGAGGCTTTAGGAGATTAAATAAAGTCACAGAGGAAGGAAGCTGGTGAACTTGGGTTATAACCTTGCTGACCTTTAAAAATAGATATTTATTGAATTTATTATTATTATTAAGTTTGCTGTAGGGCACATGTGCTCACCAGAGAGAGACAGAGGTGGGGGAAAAGCGAGAAAGCAAGCCAACCAGGACTCAAACTGCGGTCAGTCATGTGGGAGTCCAGTGCCTTAATCACCATGCTACCTGCTAGTCTCCCTTGCTAACTATTAAATCCCTTATATTACTTGTCAATTTTTTTTATTGGTATATATTTCTTATTTTAAAATTTTATTTCCCATATTATAAAATTAATACATTCCCTTGATTTAACAACCATAAAATACTAAAAGGGCATAAAGTGAAATGCCTTCTCTCAATCCCTATCTTATAGCTATGTGGTATTCCTTTTTTTTTTTTTTGGAGAGGTTTTTGCTATAGGGTGCATGCGCTCGCCAGACAGACAGAGAGACAGAAAGTGAGAAATCACCCCCCGGGGGGGATGGTCACGCCGCAACCCCTTCTCCTCCATTCTCCTCTCGGGATCTTGGGCACGCACACACATGCACCCGGCGTGAGTTTAAGCCACCGGGTCTGGGAAGTGAACAGCGGTCGACTACGTGGGAGTCCAGTGACATAGCCATTATGCTAACTGCTGGTTCCCTGGTATCCCTTTTATAAGCAACCAGTATTTCCAGTTTCTTATATCTAAGGAAATATTGGGTTGTTGGAAAAGTCACAATGCATTTTTGCATAGAAAAATATATCATGACTTTTCTGATGACCCAATAGTTTATATATCCACCCACCTTTCAGTGGTGTATCAGTCCTCCATTGAGATTTGCGTAGTGTCTAAACTTTTGCTGTTATAGATGATGCTGCAGTGGACAACATACATCATTACAAATATATCTGTAAGACAAATTCCTATAATTGGAATAGCTGGACCAAAGAATATAAACATTTATCATTTGTCTCTTAATAGATAAAATACTTTAAAGGTTGCTAATATTCCTGTTAGGGATGTTTAATTTATCAGTTTAAAAGCTCTTTGTTAGGACCAGCAGTTGGTGTAATGGCTGAGTTGCTGGACTCCCATGTAGTCGACTATGGTTCAAGTCCTGGACCCGGTGGCTTAAACTCATGCCGGGTGCGTGTGCGTGTGTGCTCAAGATCCCAAGAGAAGAATGGAGAAGGGATTGCTGTGTGGCTATCCCCCCAGGGGGTGATTTCTCACTTTCTGTCTCCCTGTCTCTTTCTGGTGAGCGCACATGCTCTGTAGCCAAAACCTCTTCCCCCCCCTCCAAAAAAAAGCTACTTGTTTATGGGTAATACTATTTGAAAAGGAAAGTTTATAACCTCTTGCGAACCAGTTTCCTCCTTATGGATTCACTGCCCCTACGACAGGAGAGACATACCTTACCCCCACTCGCAGTGCGCTGTATCTGATGTGGCGCTGGCTCTTCTTTCCCAGGTGTAGATGGTTCTACTGTTATTTTCTGCTGCTGCAGTGAAATAGCTCCTCCTTTATTCACATGGTGGGGATAAGTTACTTGGACTTCCTAGATTTATCATATGAAGTATGATGAGCCATTATGTCAATTTCATTTTCAGTGTGTTTATACAGCTTTGGAATTAGTCTTGTACCTCAGGAGACCATTTCCTGGCTTCTCTTTCACAGGTTACTACCACTAAAAATAAGTTGATAATCAGCTCTCTATTATTCTCACTAATGGAGAGAGGAGGAAAACCTATAACGAAAAGTTCTAAAATGTTTTTATTTGATTCTCAAATACTAAGTATGTCATCCTCTACTGAGAAAATATAGTATTATGCTCACTACACAAGAGAAACTCTCTAAAGAATCCTGTTATCCCAGAGCATGTAATCAAGGCAGCCTCAAAAACGAGAACTCAAGTAGCCAGAGTAGAGTTTGACCATATTCTGTTTAAACATGGCCAAAGAATTATAAACTGAAGGTGAGGACTTTGGAGTTCAGGACATATATCATGCCTACTTCCATTTCACTTCTATAATAACTTAATAAAAAGCAGTCATGCTTTTCTTTGTGTACCCAGGAAGTTTCATACAACCAGGCTAACAAAGAGAGTTAGTAGGGTTGCTATCAAGAAAGTCTGAAATACTGTATTGTTGGAAAGTCATGATGCACTTTTCTATGCATTTTTTCTATGCAAATATTTTTCTGGATATTTATTTATTTATTTATTTATTTATTTATTTATTTATTTATTTTTGCCTAGAGAAAACACATAGAAAAATATGTCAAGACTTTCCCGACAACCCAATATGTTTCTCACAACTCCAACCCACTATCCCAATGAAGGTGAATACCCTCAGGAGGACACCCTGAGGGAGGGTGTGCAGGCATGAATAATCACATACTGCCGTTGCCATTTGTCACATTTGAGGTATCGAATAAACTTATTTTTGTGATAAACTTTTTCTTTGATTCAGGTGAGCGGCCTGTGAGAGTTTATGCAGATGGGATATTTGACTTATTTCACTCTGGTCATGCCCGGGCTCTGATGCAAGCAAAGAACCTTTTCCCTAACACATACCTCATTGTGGGAGGTAAGAAAACATCGGATGACTTTGGGTGCTGCCCAGAAAGAGATTATAGTTGTCTTTTTTCTCTCTCCTATCTTTATAACCTGAGTTCATTGGCCTTTATTTTCAGCTTTTAAACAAGGGGTATAGTATATTCTCTCTAAAACTAGAAAGGTACAGGTCCCAGCACCTAAACCTGGAGAGAGGAACTCCCACCTCATTGGCCCGGAATCTCCAGTGTTATCTCGCATTGTCAGCAGTTTCTGCGATCGTAGGAGCAACACTGACCCCTATTGTCTACTTTATAGCAGCATTTACTCTAGATTTTAGTGTAACATTTTGAAACAGTTCAAAAGTCCAGTCTAATCTTATAAAAAAAGTAAAATAAAATAAAGTAAATTAATGGTACAGAAGTTCACAGCAGTTTCATTTCAAAGGCAAAGATCTTAGTCCTCGGTTGCACCTTCCCTTCTCCAAAGTGTAAACGTTCTGTGGGATCATTTGAAAAGTGATATTTTTTCTGTTTTTCTATGTAAAAATGTGTCTTGGCTTTTCTGGCGACCCAATATTTAGTGAGTGCTGCTCACTGAAGGTGTCCCTTGGATTAGGAAAAGCATTGTTACCGAACTGAGCTACATCTAGAAGGTTCTTGTCCAGGTGGGGTGGACGTTTGCAGTCCTGGGAAGCTGGATACGAGAGGAGAGGTTGGTGACTGAGAAGTGGTCATGCAGAGGGAACCCTGACTTACAATTTTGTGATGTGGTGAACTCAGTCTGCAGTGACGAGCTAACGCACAACTTCAAAGGCTTCACGGTGATGAATGAAAACGAGCGCTATGATGCAGTGCAGCACTGCCGCTACGTGGATGAGGTGGTGAGGAACGCCCCCTGGACCCTGACACCTGAGTTCCTGGCAGAACACCGGGTAAGAACCTGGCCACCAGTCCCATTCATTCTTCCAGAGTCCCCCCAACGCTCATTTTCCACTAGCCCTATTTTATTAGGTTGTTGGGAAAGTTGTGATGTTTTTCTATGTGTTTCTATGTAAAAACGCATCATGACTTTCCTGAAGACCCAGTATTTCTACCACCTATGTAAATTTCATAAAGGAGAATGACAGTAATTTTACTAATAATAGTTGTCATTCCTGACATTTATGTGGGATTTGAGAGTGGATAAGCACTTTCACATCCATTCTGTCGCTTTTGCTCCTCATGACAATCCCATGGCATCTTTACTATTTCTACTTTACATATGAAGAACAAGGCCCAGAAAGACCAAATAACTTGCTCCAGGCTATAGAATTAACAGGGCTGGGAAAAGGACTCTTTTTTTTTTTTTTTTTTTTTTTTTTTTGAGGGTTTTTTTCCCAAGGGCTCGGTTTTTTTTGAGAGTGTTTTTGCTACAGGGCTCGTGCACTCACCAGAAAGACAAAGAGAAACAGAGAGACAGAAAGCAAGAAATCACCCCCCAGGGAGGTTGGCCACAGTGCAATCCCTTCTCCTCCATTCTCCTCTTGGGATCTTGGGCACGCACACACACGTGCCTGGCATGAGTTTAAGCCACCGGACCTGGGACTTGAACTGCAGTCGACTACATGGGAATCCAGTGACATAGCCATTATGCCATCTGTTGGTCTCAGGAAAAGGACTCTTAAGTGATATGGGTAAGTTCACCCTTACAGCATATCACCCTCTTTAAAGTATCCATAGCCACAGACATGCTCTCAAGAAGTCCACATTCCAGGAAACAACATCTATTTCTCTTGTATTGACTTAAATTTAATTTCTAGGCTTTGATTTTAGGCAGGAAATTAGGTGGGATCTGAAATCAAGGATTTTTTTCACTTTTATTTAATGAGATGTTATCATAAAACCCCTTACCTCTTCTTAATTCTTCCACATTAAAACAATAAGTTTCCTACAAAATAGGAGTTTAAAAGTTGAAAAGAATTTATCATAACAGTTTGGAGACCTAAAGCCTGAGGAACCAACATGGATATTTTCAGTCTTCTACAGAAATGTGCAGAATGTGGTGAGGAGATTGTCCAGTGAGTCAGGAGAAGCCAAAGCTTGCCAAAGTACTTCTAAAGCAACACTTAGAGAGGCTTGCAACTAGGGGACATTTGTTATAACCATTTAGAATTAGGACAGACATTTCATCGTTCTCTAGCTTTTCTCTATCAACATTTAGCAGCCAGCAGCAGCAAAGGGGATAAGCAAGATTATTTTCATCAACACCACCAGGCAGGCCCAGGCAGAAGTATGAGGTTACAGGTACTTCCATCTTCCCTCGTCTGCTTCTTCGAGGTGTGTACTCAACCACAAGCCTCACTCAACCACAAGCCTCACTGCCTTCCCCACTCCGTTCTGTAATCTGCTGCCCATGGCTCTCTGCCAAGTCGTTCGTGGGTGATAGAGATGTGAGCTGAGTCCATGCACAGTCCTGATGAACGTGCTCACACTACAGTGGCTTCTGGGCGGAGTAGTGTAGGTAATTATATTAGCAGAAGGCCTTGGCCTATTCAGTAAGGAATAAGTAAATGAGATTTACTTATTTTAAAAAAGATTATTGGTTGGATTAATCAGATTGAGAGATGAGCAAATGAACTAAACAGATAACTCCCTAAGGAAGACATATGAATTGTCAAAAGGCGTATGAAAAAATGTTCCACATCTCTTATCATAAGGGAAATAAGTATCAAAATCACAATGAGATACCACTTAAACCCAGTTAGAATGGCTACGTTTAAAAAAATAATAAAGAATAAGTGTTGGTGAGGTTACAGTGAAAAAGGAACTCTCCTACACTGTTGGTGGGAATGTAAATTAGTACAATCCCGTGTGGAGAACAATATGGAAATTGACAGATAGAACTACTGCATGACCCAGTAATTCCACTCTTAGGTATCTACCCAGAAGGTAAGAATACACTCAGTGGGACAAACACTTGTGCATCCATGTTTATTACAGCATTATTCACAGTTGCTAGGACATGGAGTCAACCCAAATGTCTAAAAACAGATGAGCGGATTAAAAACATGTGGCACATGTACTCTGTGGAGTACTACTCAGTCATGAAAAACGAGACATTTGATAGAAAGTGGACAAATAGGAAAGATATAATATGCTAAGCAAAGTAAAAAGACAGGCATTGTATGTCCCCACTTAATATATCTTGAATGTCTGCACTCTGTAGCAGAAACTGAAAGATCGGAAGGTATAATAGCAGGGGGGCCAACTGTAGATACCAGAGACAGTTTAGAAAGGGGTGTGTAACGGTGGGTAGTAGGAGGTGGGAGCAAGAGTATTGGGGGGAAAAAAACATGAAATATACACAAAAGTGAAGTTACCTGTTGATGATAATGCACATGGTGATGTGTTTGACTGGACCATTATATACCATGTTCATGCTGGGGCAAACTTGTAAACTGTAAAGATGTACAGTGATGGAATGGAAATACAAGTACAACAAACAAACAAAAAAGGTTATTGATCCCAGTGCCATCAATCTCTTCGCACTCTTGCAAAGTATTTTGATTGACAGTAGTGAAATGATAGCCCCTGAGACCTGAGGTCTTTCATGGCTTTGGGTTATTTATTTCTCACTAGCATAGATGTATCTATTCCAATAATGGGGCTCTTGGTTGCCATTAATATATTGTCTCCATTTCCTGTGGATTTAGAGAGAAACCAGTTAACAAAGAAGTGACCTCTCTTTATATCTTTTAGTAACTTATTTGACCAACCCTTACAGACCCAGGAGAACAGGGAGATTTCCTTCTTTCCTAGGCTCTGTCCGCTAACTAACTCAGCAGCAAATCCTCTGGGCTACCGACCACAGCATGGCGACTGGTACACACAGTGGGATAGCACTTCCAGCAGATCAGGAGAAATAGACAAGAAGCTGGCTGACTTCCTATTTATCACCTATAAATAACTAGGCAGGGTGGCTTGTGAATGCATTGTGGGAATTAAGAGCAAAGCACAGAGAAATATGGGGGGGGGGTCCGTTCGAGGCCTGGCCTCTGCTTATTGTCCTTTTCCTGGGACTAAGAGTAATTACCGAGTCTTTCTAAATGGCAGTGATCCTGGGTTTTCAGTGATGTTTCCTTGTTTTCAGATTGACTTTGTAGCCCACGATGATATTCCGTACTCCTCTGCTGGGAGCGATGACGTTTATAAACACATCAAGGAAGCAGGTGAGTATGTCAGTGTGTGTGCCCTTGCTTTATGGGGTCTCGGGGGCAGCTACGGAGATTCAGCCTTATCACCGTCTCATAGGGGAACATTTGTACACTGAGAAATTCGGCATCCTCTTCAGTGCACACTTTGAACAAGAGGTAAAAGTGATCATATCACTGAATTCCATCAGTTCTTGGTCTAAACATCTAGCTTTTATCTCTCTCTCAATTTCAGAAAACCCTTATGTAGTCCCATATTCTTTTTTTTTTCCCCCCACTATAGGGCACGTGCGCTCGCCAGACAGACAGAGAGAGACATAGAGACAGAAAGCGAGAAATCACCCCCCAGGGGGGATGGTCACGCTGCAATCCCTTCTCCTCCATTCTCCTCTCGGGATCTTGGGCACGCACGCACACGCGCCTGGCGTGAGTTTTAAGCCACTGGGTCCGGGACGCGAACCGCGGTCGACTACGTGGGAGTCCAGCGACATAGACATTATGCTAACTGCTGGTTCCCTAGTCCCATATTATTCTTAATATTAGTGCTAGTAATAATTCCTTTCGTAACCATTCAGTCAGTCCTCTTTCTGCATGTCAGTATCTGTAGTCATCACTTTTTTTTAATAATTATTTTATTTATCTTTATTTATTTATTATTTTTTAATTTGACGAGAGAGAGAGATAAAGTGAGAAAGCAAGCCACCAGGTCCAGGACTTGAACCATGGTAGGCCATGTGAGAGTCCAGTACCCCAAACACTGCACACCTGCCGGCCCCATCCCTTTATAATATCAGCTTCTGCTTTTTGAGGAAAAGAAAAGAATGTTACTTCCAGTGTCCCTCTAATTCTGCTGTCCGAGCTAACCAGAACTTCACAGTGTTTGTCTGTATGTGTTCTTGAGTTAGGCATGTTTGCTCCAACACAGAGGACAGAAGGAATCTCCACATCGGACATCATCACTCGCATTGTCCGGGACTATGATGTGTATGCAAGACGGAACCTACAGAGGGGCTACACAGCAAAGGAGCTCAATGTCAGCTTTATCAACGTAAGTTCCAGCTTCATCCAGAATCCCGTGGTTCTGCAGGACACATATTGCTTCCCCACTCCGTCTAGCTGAACTTGCCTTTCAGTCTCTGTGATAATTACTCCTAAAAGCTCAATGAATGCCTCTTAAGGGTAACACCATGCTAAACTCCTTACACAAAGAATAAAACAGACTTGGTTGAGGCAGACCGATCTCATACAACTGAGTATGGAGTTTGAATCCTGGCTGTGGGCCTGAAAAACATGCCAGGCATGTGTGCTCGAAATACTGAAAGGAGAAAGAAATGAAGAAGGGATTATGCCAAGACTGTGCAGCATTGAGGGGGTGGGTGCTCTCTCCTTCCTCTTTTACTGGCTCTGTTTGGTGAGCATACATGCCCTCTGGCAAATTTTTAAAAACTATATATTTTGTGTATCAGTTATACCTCAGTAAAGTTGATTTAGAAAGAAGAAAGTTTCTGGGACCAGCAGTTGGCGTTATGGTTATGTCGCTGGACTCCCATGTAGTTGACTATGGTTTGAGTCCCAGACCCAGTGGCTTAAACTCATGCCAGGCGTGTGTGCATGTGTGCGTGTGTGCCCAGGATCCCGAGAGGAAAATAGAGAAGGGGTTGTGGTGTGGCCAGCCCCCCTGGGGGTGATTTCTCTCTTTCTGTCTCCCTGTCTCTCTCTTTCTGGTGAGCACATGTGCCCTATAGCAAAAACCTCTCCAAAAAAAAAAAAAAAAACAAGGAAGAAGAAAGCTTCTAACCATGTCTTCTACATAACCAGTTCACCATGCTCCCTCACCTGCTCCCAGCTCTGTGAATTATTATATAAGAATAGGTGAAATATTTTCATCTAAATATAATTTATCTATTTAAAGAAACCATAAGTGTTGTTAATTTACCTACTACAGAATTTTTATGTATTTTCCCATAAGATTCAGGTGTTTAAGAACCCTAAACATAGTACCTTTTCTCTTTATGATCTGAAAATTATACAGATACTTTTCATTTGATTAATCATCCTCCTCACCACCACTAAGGAGGTTGATCCCATTTTCCCCTTATTTTTAGGAAAGTTGGTGCACTAAAGAATATTATCTTCATTTTGTAAATAAGCAAATGGACCTCCACATATCAAAAAAATAAAACATATGACTTATCTAAAGTCATAGAATATGCCAACAATGGAGGGGGAAAACCCAGAACAATAAATAAATTAATTAAGTGAAAGCACTAATACATTCCTTTCAATCTATTATACTTTTCTTGGTAATATTATGCAGTGGTCTCATTGCTACCTATCCATTTCTTTTTTTGGAGAGGTTTTGCTATAGGGCGCGTGCGCTTGCCAGACAGAGACAGAGACAGAGAGACAGAAAGCGAGAAATCACCCCCCGGAGGGATGGCCACACCGCAATCCCTTCTCCTCCATTCTCTTGGGATCTTGGGCACGCACGCACACGCGCCCGGCGTGAGTTTTAAGCCACCAGGTCCGGGACACAAACCGCGGTCAACTACGTGGGAGTCCAGCGACATAGCCATTACGCTAACTGCTGGTTCCCTATCCATTTCCATCTAGAATTAGTTTTGGGTTGTGTTGGGCATGTTTATGTTCCAAGTTTAGGCTTTATCTTTAAAAATGTGATTTTGTTTAGCTACATACCTTTCTGTTACTGGGTCTAACCTGTATATTTAGTTTTGAGCCTCCTCAGTATTAGAATTATTATACTTTCATATAAGATGACCATCCAGAGCATAATCTTATCTGATACTGTGCTAAAGAAGTGTATGGTAGATTAAAGCATGGCAAAATTCTAAAAACTGGACAGAGTATCAATGGAGTGCATGAGCCATGTGTTTTCTTTCTTCATGGGTAGGGAAGGTCAGGATGAGAACTGTTTCTCAAAACAATTCCCTAGGAGAAGAAATACCATTTGCAGGAGCGAGTTGACAAAGTAAAGAAGAAAGTGAAAGACGTGGAGGAGAAGTCAAAAGAATTTGTTCAGAAAGTAGAAGAAAAAAGCATTGACCTCATTCAGAAGTGGGAGGAGAAGTCCCGAGAATTCATTGGCAGTTTCCTGGAAATGTTTGGTCCAGAGGGAGCACTGGTATGTTCTTACCATTCTGGACAATTTAGGGAATTTCAGGGATATTTAGGGAATTCAGCGCTGTAACAAGAATCATAGAATCCTTGAGCAGAAAGGGATAGCGACGTTAAAAAGTTATGGTCCCCTTATCTGGGCAGAACTGTGTTTCAACTATCCCCCCTCCAAAGTCTTCAAAATACTTAGAGAAAGAAGTTACACATTTTCCTAAATAATTTTGCCAACTTTGAATCAGTCTCGAAATCTGGTGACAAGATAAGCAATTAGCCTTGCGCAGCTTACTTCTATATTATAGTTTTAGATAGGCGGAAAGGGAAGAATAAAGGAAAGGAAAGAGGAAACTTTTTCCACTATAGAAAGCTGCGGCAGGATCCCTGGGTGAGGTGGGGATTCTGTCCTTGAGGACAGCACCATCTTTTCAAGTCAAATCAAAGATTCAGCAAGTGAACCCTAGGTTAGATAGCAGGAAGGAACTTACTGTGAAGGTGTTAAGATACTAAAAAGTTATTCAGGAAGAATGTGGGATTCCTTTTCAGAGAACTCTAAAACTGGACTAGGTAGCCTTTTGTCAAAGTTGGTTCCTTTGTTTTGCCTGGAACCTGGACTACAGACTGTCACCTCCTAGGAATTCCTGTGACATACAAGTCATGGATTTAGTGAGTGTGGATAGCAGGTGGGAACCTTTATGTAAATAATATAGCATAGGCCACTTTAGGGAGGACGTTACTTATAATAATGATAGCGATGTCTCTCTTATAGAATTGATCACTTTTGACATTGCAGTGGGCACTCATGAACATTTGGAAGTCTCAGGTGCTCCTGGATGATTAGTAGGATCCACAGTTTCTTCTAACTTTTTCTTTTGGTGTCCTCAGAAACACATGCTGAAAGAGGGAAAAGGCCGGATGCTGCAGGCCATCAGTCCCAAGCAGAGTCCCAGCAGCAGCCCAACTCGTGAGCGCTCCCCTTCCCCCTCCTTCCGATGGCCTTTCTCTGGCAAAACCTCCCCACCTCGCTCCCCAGCAAATCTCTCCAGGCACAAGTCTGCAACCTATGACATCAGTGAGGACGAAGAGGACTGACACGCTCCACCCTCCTTCCTCTCCCCCACCCTGCCCATCACATTCGGAAGCTCTCTGTTGAATTCCAAATTGCGAGCCCAACACTAAACCCAAGGACAGCTACAATGGAGAGACGATTGGGGCACGAGGACCTAGATATGGGGGAACCCAAGCAGTCTATCCTCTAAGAGACATCAAGCACCCACACCGTGAAGGGGCTGACTATACCTTAGAAGCCTGTTCTGAATCATCTACCCTCCCCAGGACTTTGCTTTACTGTATATGTTCATGTGATCTTGACAGGGAAATTGTCATTTTTATTCATTTTTTTAAAAATTAGTCTTTCAAATATAGTAAATAGAACTAATTTTTTGCCCCTGAGGAGTGGGCAGAAGAAGGAAGTGGTGTAATGCCCAGAGGCCTTTTCTTCCTAATAACACTGTAGTGTTTGCCTTCTGTTCTGAAGCAAAGCAGCTTGCCAAGTCCTTCAGGCGTCCAGACATGCTGATGGGTAATATGGGGGGAATATCATACTTTCGGTTTCTTTAAGAAAAAGCAAAATTTGAATTACAGTCACAAATCCCCTAAATATACTGCCAACACGTGTCAGTGTGGCTGAGGAAGGAAGAGATCTGAGCCCAACGTTTCTTACTCCCTGCGGAGTTTCTCATTGAACCCAGTGGGGTCCATGAAGACACTGATGGGGATGGAACTAGACCACATGCATCAACTACAGTTTTTCTGCTGTGTTCATCTCAGAAAATTCTGTTGCCCAGTTATTTGGGAGCTCTTATCAATCTTTATTCTGCAGTCTACCTTTGTAAAAGAAGAAATACTTTTAGGGTTACTGTGATTGAGGAAGGGAGCAGGACAATACTCAGTCCAAAGTGAGATTAGACTCAGTTCCTGCTGGGAGTAAACCCAGGCCCTGCCTCTCCTGTTCCAATGCCATTGACTAGCTTTCTACAGAGGACACTGTAAATGTCTGCAGTTGGAACCTGATCTGTTAATCCCCTTACTCACAGGCATACCGAATGTGTAGAGATTTGTACAGAACAGAGACGCGAAAGCATGGGGAACACCTTCCTTTCTAAAGCAACAGCCTTATCTTGACTGCTACCCCTCCCAAGAACAGCTCTTCCCTAGAACCAGTGCTCCACGGTGTTTCTTTTCCTTGGAGAGCTGCCCTGGCAGGACTTCCTTCCACCCTCCTCCAGCCTCGAAGCATGGGTTGACATTACAAGAGTATGGTGGGTTCTCTCCCTCTTTCCTTGGAGTGCCTAGTGGTTATGGTCCCATCTCTCCTGACAGGTTGCCCAGGGGGATTCTGCGCTTGAATTTCAAATCAGAGAGTGCTGAGGCTTAACACTTGCTGTTGAGCTTGATCTCTTAACCCCCTATATCCTGTCTTCTCAGAAACATCACCCAGCAGATCATCAACCACCAGTAATCCTATAGCTAGATTCAGGAGGAAATTGCTTATGTCCAGGCCCCACCCCCATCACTCATAAATACCCCTTGTGGGGGTGAAGTTTTAATGTTTTCAGCTAAGAAAACCACAATTTCTCATTCTCACCCCTCTGCTAGGACTGTGGGCGTCTCATAGTCCCCTCCCTAAGCAGTTTCTAGTAGAACCAGCCCTCTGCCTGAGGGTCAGCGGCTAGACTCCCTGCCCACCTGCACGGCTGGACAACCTGGGTTCTTAAATCTGATTACCCAGATGAGCAGAGCATGGCAGAGGAGAGGGCCAAAAAGGGGAGGGGGACTTCTTGTCCTAATAGCCTAGGGGAATTACATTTCTAATTCTCCTCATGAAGTGCTATTTTTACTATAAAGTCTGGTTCACAAAACTCTGGCTTGGAATCCTTTCCTTGAAACAGCCGAAGTTGACGTTTCCCACATTTTCTAGCTCCACATGATTGTGTAACTTAGCGTTTCTACTTCAGTCTTCCGTCTTTGGGAATTCTGCCTCTTTCTGTCTGACTTCCTCTCCCTGGAATAGAAAGGCGATGAACTATGCTGAAGCCCACCTTCCCCTTCCTTTGAAGTACACGCTAACCACGTGGATTTGACGGGAAGGGAGATGCTAGAATGTGCCTTCCTGCAGTCCCTCTGAAGTATCTCGTCTGGGTCCCCAGTGTGCGTGCCTTCCGCCTCTGCTCTCACAGCTGCCTGGGGGCAGCATCTGCATGTTCTTGGAGGACTTCCTTACCCCTTTGGCTGAGGGTCTACTGCCTCCGTCTCTTAACACTAGTACATGTTCAGATAATTTTGGCAGAAAGCAGAACTTTTTATGGTGCGGCAAGCCAGGTACTTTGGGGTGAATGTGATCCTAGAACTTGGACAAGTGTGGCTGTATGGAGGGAGGTGTTGGAATGACATGATTGGATCGTTTGTGCCTAATTAAATAAGGTCAGAAATTCAAACGCCACAACTATGCCTGTGATCTGTACATCCTCAGATACTGACGCGTGAGGCCGTGCAGCTGTGCTCTGAACTCCCACACAAGGAAGCAGTCAGCCTCGATGGGCCAAATGTGACAGGGATTAGAGTCGGCCTTAAAGTGAGCCTTAGCTGGTCGCTGAGACGGAGCTGTCTGAAAGAAAAAGGGAGGGTGAGGCAGCGCCCGTGGTGCTGAGGAGGTGCCGTAGCCGTCACCTGCAGGTGGATGGGGCAGAAAGTTTGCTCTGTTCATACATCAGACTCAGGCACTGAAAAACAGAGGCTGAATTTCAGGGGGTCCTCGTGCTGCTGCAGCTGCTTCTGATACCTAGAGCCAAGGACCAGGATTTTGTGGAGACTTGGATAAGAAGGTTGGGGTGTGAGGAGGCCGAACATCCTGAAGAAGGAAACAAAGACGAGGGGGGCCGAGAACACTTTGGCCCCTTTTGATTGCTAGTAACTTCCTAGGCAGCATCTGAGTCACACTATGAGATGTGTGGCCACGTAGCTTGTTAGGCTGTCCCTAGACAGTGGTTCTTCGCAGTACTCTGGAGTGTCTTGACTTGTGGGTGGTTTATCTTCTGGAGCTCATTGCCTTTTTAATCCTGTTTCAGATCCTCCCTCTAAAAGCTTTCCAAGTCAATTATATTTTGTGCTTTTTTTAATTCCCTAAAAGCCATAGCTTCTGGATTTTCTGTCAGCATACACTGTCCCCAGGTAGGAAGAAAGAGTTCCCCTAACAATGTTTTTAATGCTATTTTTTAAAGCTTACCAATGCAAGTATTTTTTAAGGTTATATTTTTCGAAGTCATAACAATGATTATTTTTGGTTCCTCTCATAGAATAGTTTGTCGTGGGATTAAAGAGTGGTCCCTAGCTTCTATTTTTCCAAAGAAATAAGTAGGACACATTCTTGGGATTATACTATTAAATGTTACTGATGTTCTTTCAAAAGAAAGAAGAAATCTTTTCTGTCTACCGAAGGTTTATGTTAGGACTGGGATTGGGGCAGAAAGGAAAAGCACCAGGTTTAGGTGGTGCTTCAGGTGACTCAGTTGTGCTCCTTTAGGTTTGAAGTGGCCCTTCCTTCTGTTCTTTGGGAGGTGCTGCCTGTTTTGAACACAGACTTGACTGGTTGGGTTGTTCTGTATTGAGGGTCGTGAAGAGAAAGAAGAGTCATAAGCGCTGGCCATCATGGATGTTTGCCCATCACCAATGCAAGTCTACAGGGAGGCTGTCCTCAACTGGGGCTCACCATGCTGTTCTGTCTGTTATTGATTTGTTCAGAGTTATTTTGGCTTTTGTCATTTAGCCAAATAAAGGCACTGCAGTTTTACCTGATGTTCCATTTTCTGTATTTTTGACGTGGTAAACACATGTATGATATGTTTCATGTATTGGGGGCTTTTAACTGTACTTTCAGTTTCTTTGCTTTTGCATCCTCTTTTCTCTCCTCAAAATCAAACTTAATGACCATGTCATTAGGGGATTCCTTTTGAAATGTGGCACAGAACACTCAAAAAGCCATTGTTCCAGAAAGGGAGGCAGATCCAGACCTCCCAGGCCTAGTGTCATCAGTGCCCTAAGGAAAAGAACACCTTCTATCTGTTTTCCAGAAGCCTGACTTCTTCGGGACTTTGGGCAGGTGCTATTTTACATAGCCAGGTTCTCCTGTCCTTGTGCCTATAGGGACACATCATACCCTCTACCCACCTCCATCTGCTTTGGGCAAGTTCAGAGTGACCTTTTAGTACACAAGCTTTAAAGGTTAACAGTGGCACCCATAATGCCCAGAGTTTCAGACTTCATCCTATTATTTATTGCAAACTTAAAATACCTTTCCTGGGTAAGAACCAAAACAATTCCATGCTATTACACAGTTCACCTTCATCTCTGGTCAAATGTAATCTGTCAGCTCGCGTTGTCAGTGGGAATCCTTGCCTGTTTGGTCAAGATTGAGAGACAGTGAAGAAATGTCCTCTCATAATAAGTACAGTGTCTCTTCCATTGTCCAGGCTGTCCACCTCAAGCTTTGAGATTCGAGTCCAGTTCTGGAGAGGAGAAAGCTTCATATCCAACCTTGTGGTCTTCCCTTCGGTAGTATATCCGTGTCAGCACAGTCATCAGAAAAGTCTCCAGTATGAGGAGGTGGCAGTTCATCACTGGAATGTGGGTTGAAATGTAATGTAGGTTATGCCAAGTTGTAGAGGGGGTATCTCACTAGCAGCCACGGCATGTGAACTGAGCAACACTTTCTCCATCTTATCCCCAAACCCAGGACCTAGAGATACTAAATTGTCACAAGTAAGATAACAAGTTAGTGGTAGGACCAGAACCAGAACTTGGCTCTCTACCTTCTACATCTGAGGCTAGCATTTGAGCCCTACCCTCTTACGTAATCAGCATAACCACCTCCCTAATCACACCCATTCTTCTGACATGAGCTGAAGGTTGAACCCATGGCTTCCTGGGTTGGCCATCAGGGCTGGGCTAAGCAGTGGGGTTGCAGGTCTCCTTTGTCTGATCAGAGAGGTCATTATTTCCTTAAAGCCTCTACTGGGATGTCTTGGAAATCTCCTCCTGAATATTCAAGCAGAAGTCAGGCCAGCCTCGCTTCTGTTCTAAGGTTTTCTCTTTCTTTACCCTCCCCCATCTCATCCACCCTGTAATGGAATGGGAGCCCTCATGTGCTCACCTTGAGACCTGATTTTAGAAGAATAGGGAGGTGAGCAAGCAATCTGTCCACCATTAGCCAAGACGGAGAAGATGGAGGGCTGTAAGGCAGTCAGGATGAGCAGCACCTGCAGCGCAGAGAACAGGGGTGGGTTTGTGCTGCCGTCCACGGCCCCGAGGCCACCAGCCTGCTGCCGGGCCCTGTCCTTTCTGTGCACATTCAGCCCACCATTAGAGCAGAGCAGGTACAAAGGGTTGAAACTCACTTGATTAAATATTTGTGGAGTTTTCATCTGTAGGCAAATTACAATTCCTTCTAATGCTCAATATTTTATTAGAGTTATTGACACAATAGGAACTGAAGGGGGGGTGTCATTCTTATTTCCCCATCTTAGTCATGGCTGCTAATGAGCACTTAGTGGATAAAAAAAGGTGGATGATTAAAGAAGAGTATCTCAAGTATCTGAGATCCCTGCTCCTAGAATTTAGACCGTTAAAGTGACTTTTGAGGGCTGGTCCCCTAGCTCAGTGGTTAAGCACTGTACATAGGAAGCCAGATCCCACACAGCCAACTGCAGTTTGAGTCCTAGCTATAGTAGCTTGGAAAATGCTCTAGGTGCATGTGTGTGTGTGCCCCAAATCCTGATGGGGTGGAGAAATGGAGGAAAAGGAATTACAGCATGACTGGGCCCCATGGGAGGGGTGCACACACTCTCTTTGGTGAGTGAACTCACCCTCTGGCAATATAACTTAATAAATAAAGTATCCTTCAAAAACTCTGCCTGCCATGTCAGGGGTCGTTGTCAGAGGGCAATGGGAAATTAGTATTTAATGGGTATAGTTTCAGTTGGAGAAGTTAAAAAACTTCTGGGGACGGATGGCATTGATGGTTGCACAAAAATGTGAATGTATTTAGTGCCCTAGACTGTACATTTTATGCATTTTTTAAAAGTTTGCCACAGGGCACATGTACTTGCTGGAAAGAGAGAGAAAGATAGAGAGGCAACATGAGAAATCACCCCCCAGAGGGGATGGCCACACTACAATCCCTTTTCTATTCTCCTTTTGAGATTCTGGGCATGCATGCACATGTGCTTAGCGTGTTTTTCCAGCTGCCAGGTCTGGGACTCGAACAGCTCAGTTGGCCATGTGGGATTCAGAGCCTTCACCTCTGCACCACCTGCTGGCCCTGCTATGTGTATTTCATCACAACTTAAAAAAAAAAATAGATGACAAAGATGAAAACAACAAACGAAGACTAAGAAGTCAGTGAAGATGAAGATAAAAAGGATGACAGATGGGACCAGCAGGTGGTGTGGTGGTGAAGGGCACTGCACTCCCACATGGCCGACCACAGTTTGAGTTCCAGTCTTGGTGAATTTCTTTCTCATGCCCTCCCCCCCCACTCTGTCCTTCTCTGGTCAAATTAAAATAAATAAAGTTAAAATAATTATTTAAAAAAAAAAAAAGGTTACAGATGACTAAGATGAAGATGAAGGCCATGAAGATGACAACGATGTAGGAAGAGGGAGTGAAGGAATGTTCCTGGAAATTCACATGCTGTAAGAATGCACGCGGAACCACTTTCTATAAAGCAGTCATTATGCCTTGGAAGTAGGAGAAGGGCCCAGCAAGAAGACAGAAAAATGGTGCGAGAAGGAGGACGACCTTGGGCTAGAAGTCGTTGTGGCCTTAGAGAATGCAAATCATAGGTGAACAAAGGCACCCTTGAGAGGATCTTCAGAAGAGGTGTGAAGATGAAGAGGCAGTGTAATGAGAAAAGGACGTTGGGTTAGGAGTTAAGACCTAGGTTTAAAATCTAGCCCGTCTCTTAAGTGCATTTTGACAAGCTTCATGATCTTGGTTTCAAAGCTTCATCTGTTGTAAAATAAGGCTAATGATGACTCCAGGGTTACTGTGATCACCTAAGTGGAACTATGAGAAGTGCCCAGCACGCGGGGTAGGTATTTGATAGCTGCAGCTCTAATCATGCCGTTGCTGCTGGTGTGGATGGATATGTGGCTTTGGGAAGTAATAGATGGAAAAGGAAAGGGGTGAACTGGTGGTGTGGTGGTTAAAGCAGCTGGTTCCCACATGGCCAGCTTCATAGTTCAAGTCCTGGATCAAGCAGCTTGGAAATCATGCTGGGCACATGTGCATATGTGCCCAGAATCCTGAGAGGAAAACAGATTGTGGCATGGCCATCCCCCTCCCGGCAGGGGGATTTATCACTCTCTCCTCTCCTGATTTTTCTCCAGCAAGTGTGTGCTTCCTACAGCAAAACTAAAAAAATAAAGAAAAGGAAAAGAAAAAGCAAGGGTCGAAGAATTTAAGGAGGTTCGACAACATTCATGTTACGGGTTGAATTGCGTTTCCCAGAAGGCTATGTTGAGGTCCTAACTGCCCTCCCCCAGTGCCTCAGAATGACCTTATTTGGAAGCAGTGTCATTGCAGCTGTAATTGGCTAAGGTGAGGTCATGCCAGAACACAGTGGGCCCTTAAACCAATATGATTGTTGTCATAAAAAGAGAAGAGACAGGGACTAGCAGTTGGCGTAATGGCTATGTCGCTGAACTCCCATGTAGTCGACTGCGGTTCGTGTCCCGGACCTGGTGACTTAAACTCACGCCGGGCGCATGTGTGTGCGTGCCCAAGATCCTGAGAGGAGAATGGAGGAGAAGGGATTGCGATGTGGCCATCCTCCCGGGGGGTGATTTCTCACTTTCTGTCTCTCTGTCTCCCTCTGTCATTCCAGTGAGTGCACACATCTTCATTCCAGTGAGTGCACGCGCCCTATAGCAAAAACCTCTCAAAAAAAAAAAAAAAAAAAAAGAGAGAGAGAAGAGACACACATGAAGGGAGAAACAGTGTGTGATCATGGAGCAGAAACTGATGACACAGTTGCTGGCGAAGGACTGCCCGGGACTGCTGGCAACCAACAGAAGCCTGGGAGAAACGGGAGGGAGTCTCCATTGCAGTTTTCAGAGCCCGGCCTTGCCAACTGCTTGATTTTAGACTTCCAGCCTTGAAACCACAGGACCATGCATTTTGTTGTATTTTTATTTATTTATTTATTTTTGGAGAGGTTTTTGCTATAGGGCGCGTGCACTCACTGGAATGACAGAGGGGGACAGAGAGACAGAAAGTGAGAAATCAGCCCCCAGGGGGAATGGTCACGCTGCAATCCCTCCTCCATTCTCCTCTCGGGATCTTGGGCACGCACGCACACGTGCCCGGCGTGAGTTCTAAGCCACCGGGTCCGGGACGCAAACCCCGGTCGACTATGTAGGAGTCCAGCGACATAGCCATTACGCTAACGGCTAGTTCCCCATTTCGTTGTATTAACACCTAGTTGGTGCCATGTCGTTACGGCATCGCTACAGAACTATTACAGCACAGAAAGGCAAAGAATGGGAAGGGCAGGGGTTATCCTCCAAATTCCACAGGAAATCTGAGGTTTATAAGGAAGATTCCTAGACCTGCTTCTAGCCTTTATCAGTCTCATCCCCCAGTCCCAGTAATGTGTAACCCCCTTAGTAAACAGGATAGTTACCTGGAAAAGAGCAAATTTGGCTTGTATGTTCTGCTCACGCAGGTGTAGCTTGGCTTGGCGGAAAAGAATGCCCAAGGTCCAGAGGGCCAGGAGGGTGGACACACCGAGGAAAGTGTTGATCCATAGAGCTGTGCTCGCCTCAGAAATCTGGGCAGACCAGGAAGTAGTCAGTAGGGAGGCGGCCCCTTCCCTCTTATTTCTCCTCTCCCATGGTGGGATGGATAATCAAGAAGCCCCGAAGCCTTGTCTCTCCCCACTGGAATCCCTCTGCTTTTCCAGTCATCCTGTCCCTGGGGCGCTGTGACAGGGGTGTTGGCTCCAGGTATTCCAGAGCTAAAAGTTACTAAATGGGTCTTTAACCTGCCACCCCTGACTCCTTCCTGGCTTACGTCTGCTGGGTCATAGATGCCGTCAGGGATGAGAAACAGGCCCACCAGGACCAGCGTTATCTTGAAGAAGACATACTGGAACGGGCCCAGCATCAGCAGCTGAAGCTTCTTCCTGAAAGAGAAAGAGAGTTTGGGACAAAGATCCATAGCCCACCCCAACACCTCTCAGGTCCCTCACTGGTCCTGCGCTGGGGCTTGGCTGCCCCAACAGATGCCCACATGGCTAAGTGGATGGGCCCCGGGAGGCAGCCAGAATGTTGACAGCGTTGGGAACCGGCCCTGCCTCCCACTCACCTCCAGACCGGAGAGCAAGAGCCAGCAGAGCGCTGACCTCACCCTCAATAACCACAATGGGCAGAAGGGTCAGGAAAAGCCCTAAGGGCGGCTTCCTTTGTGCATCTGCAGGGGGCAGGGAGCTCACATGATGGGAACTTGAGTTCTCTGCTCCCCTCTGGGGTTGAGTGCCCACCCATTCACTACTGGCTTTGTCCCATGGAAGCCTAATTCCAAGAGCCTTGAAGCAGGGCTACAAAGCCAGAGAGGCCCTTGAGAGAGGGCAGAAGCCGACGTGTTCTTTGGAGATTCCCCTCCCTCCCGCCTTACCTGGTGAGCAGGAGTCTGGGGCAGCAGGGGCAGCAGCAGCAGCAGGGGCCTGTGTGGACTATCATCTGGGTATTCTCTAGGGTCCTCAGTACTGCCTCCTTCCCACCAAAGCCCTCCACCATGACCAGCATCATCAGGTAAAAGCAAACGGCATAAAACCTAGGATGGGGACAGAAGTGGGATGGTGAGTAAGGGTGGGGGCAAGGGTCAGCCAGCTGAGGGGACACCCCTTTGCAGCCAGAGAGGGAGTCTGCACAGAGTGGTGGGGCTCACTGAAGGGAAGGCAATAGGGTCTGGGCCCTCCAGATGTGCAGCCCAGGAGAAGCAAGAGGACAAGATCCAAAGGACCGGGAAGGGGAATTTCAGACCGTGAGGACGGAGCTGAGTGGCATATTCCCTGAACAGAACCAGGTCAAGGGGCCCGGACCAGCACAGATTGGGAAGGAACAGGTTGAAGACTCTGGAGTCCTGGTGAGTGGAGAGCAGTGGGAGGGGCAGGAGACTCACGAGGTGATGGCCATTTCCACGAGCATCAGGGAGCGAGGGATCCAGAGCCCAAAGCAGCAGAACACAGACACAACCTGTTTGAGGCAGAGCAAGAAGCGGGTTAGGGTGGGGAGGGAGACCGCTCAAAGCCCGTGTGGCACAGGCTCAAGAGAGCAAGTTTATATGTGTGAGACACCAGTCCTTAAAGGCTGCCAGCTGGCGGACCAGCTGCTGGTGTGATGGTTAAAGCAGCTGGATTCCATATGGTCCACTGTGGTTCAAATCCTGGACCTGGGGCTTGAAAAACACACCGAGCATGTGTGCACGCATGCCCAGAATCCCAAGAGGAAAGTGAAAAAAGGATTGTGGTGTGGCCATCCCCCCAGGAGGTGATTTTTCACATTCTCTCTCTGGAGAGCATTTGCACCCTATAGCAAAATTAAAAAAACAAACAAAAACAAAAACAAACAAACAAAAAACAGTGCTGCCCACTGGGAAACCCACTGATGAAAGCACGTGAGCCAAGGACCTGTGTAACGGCTGCGGGTCTGAGCCGGAAGGGTCCACAAGCTTAAGTACAGGAAGGAGCGTAACTCGGTAGAAGACTCCTTCCCTCCTCCACTCTGAGCACCCTTGCCTGCCTGGACAGGAAAGTGGTGGGGGAGTCACAAGATGGGCCACAGGTGGGCTGAGCAGGTCCTCCAGAAGATTCTGTTGCCCACAGCGTCCGTACTCTTGGTTGCCCCTAGCACAGTAGTTAAGTGCTACCCAGAGAAAACCAGATCCCACGTGGTTGACCAGGGTTTGCGTCCCAACCCAGCAGCTTGAAAAACATGGCAGGCATGCGTGCCTAGGTGGTGCTCTTTCTCTTCTGTGTGCTCACACGTGCCCTCTAGAATAAAAAAAAAGATGAATTCCCACTGCTGGCCTCCCAAACATAGGGTCCTAAGTGCAAGTAAAGGTCATTTTCTGTCTGTCCGTCTCTCTGTCTTTCTGGAGAGCGCATGCGCCCTATGACAAAAACCTCTCAAACAAAGCAAAACAAACACCCCTCCCTCCTAGGGAGTAGTCATAGATAACTGCTCAAGTGAACTGTCTGGAGGAATTCTCAAAATGGAAAGAGGAAGTCCCCGCCTCCTCTGCAGCCCCTCCCAAAGGACAGCTCAGGGCCCTCACCGTGGGTGCGGAGCTACTCCAGAGCAGAGTTCTCCTCTTGATGGGGCAAGAGGTGTTCTTGTGCAGGTAGACGGCGGTCTCCAGGTAGATGGCAACCGAGCCCAGGGCAAGCAGAGTCATGATGCTCGTGAGCGTGATCTCCACAGGGCCCAGTGCTGGAGTGGAAAGGAGACTGGTGAGCTGAAGGCACCCCAGGACTGAGCGGGGAGGATGCAGGCTTCCTTACTTGGGTCTAAACGCCTTACCCAAACTAGGATGATCTGATCTAGGCTTCTCCCCATGCAGAATAACGGCTATTGCTTGGACCTAGAATATCCAGCATGTGGGGGCTGGCAGGTGGCATGGTGCAACCACCAGGCACTAAACTCCCACGTGGCCGACTGTGGTTCAAGTCCCAGACCCGGTGATTGCTTTCTCACTCCTCCCTAACCCATCTCTCTGGTCAAATTTTAAAAACAATAATAGAGGACCAGCAGATGGTGTAATGGCTGGATTGCTGGACTCCCATGTAGTGGACCAAAGTCATCGAGTCCCAGACATGGTGACTGCTTGCCCAAAATCCCAAGAGGAGAATGGAGAAGAGATTGTGGTATGGTCATTCCGGGGGTGTGTGTGTGTGATTTCTCACTTTCTGTCTCTGTCTCTCTGGTGAGTGCACGTGCCCTATAGAAAAACAAACAAACAAACAAACAAAAAAACCTCTCTAAATAAGTAAATTTAAAAAATGGTAATAGTAAATAAAATTAAATAAATTATTCTTTAAAAGAATACCCAACACGTGACTAAGAAATGCGTAGTCGTCCTCTTGCATGAAGGGGAGCCTAGATCATATAGTTCTAGGTAGATCATGTAGTTCTAGGTATGGCAGGGTCCGCCCGAACCAAGGATAGCTATAAAGCACACTTTTACATAATGAGCAACGTGTTTAACTGAAGAGGTTGGCAAGGGCCTCCTCCTCCTCTAGTGCCAAGTACTGTACTAGCAGACATGAACCAGTGGGTATTACAGCTGAAACAGAATGTAATTAACGGTCCTCTAGAGCCGTTCACTGTGATTCACCGACTTGTACCATGAAACTGGGACATTAAGGCAGAGACTGTAACAAAGAGAAATGATAGAAATAAACCCAAGGATGTCTGACCCGTGCTGGCCACACATTTGGTTTTACATTAACTGGAGACCAGTGGTTCTCAGCCATCAGCAGTTATTGCAATTGTTTGCAAAGATGTTAAAAAGCAGCTGTCCGGGGTCCTGCCCTCAGACATGCCGCTTCAGGCGGTCTAGGATGGGCCCAGGAACCTGCATTTCTCACACGCCCGCCTGATAATAATCCGAGCATAGCAAACACACTGACACGCTGGTGAACCCCATCTGACCTCACCACTGCTAACAGGGAGAAATTGACGTAGTCACACCGTGTTCTGAACGTGTGATTCATTAACGCCATGATAAGTTTTTTAAAGGAATTATTTCATTTTATTTATTATTATGATAATACTTTAGTGTAGGGCATGTGTGTTCACTATAGATAGTGAGAGAGGGTAAGTGAGAAAGCAAACTGCCAGGTCCGGGACTCGAACCATGGTTAGCCATGTGGGAGTCCTGCGCCTTCACCATGCCATGTGCTGGCCCCCACAATTAGGTTTTACAAAGGGTTCTGGGGACCAGCAGTTATCGTAATGGCTATGTCGCTGGACTCCCATATAGTCGACCTCAGTTCAAGTCCTGGACCCAGTGGCTTAAACTCACACCGGGCGCGTGTGCGTGTGTGCCCAAGATCCCAAGAGGGGAATGGAGGAGAAGGGATTGTGGCGTGGCCATCCCCTCTAGGGGCTGATTTCTCGCTTTCTCTCTGTCTCTCTGTCTTTCCGGCAAGCACATGTGCCCTATAGCAAAATCTCTCCAAAAAAAAAAAAAAAATTAAAAGGGTTCTGGATCCTTAGTGACTAAGTTCCTACTCTCATTTATTCAAGTTTCTTTATAGGCAGCAGACTCTCCTTTGCACCTCCTAACTGGCTAGATAAGAGGAAGAAAGGGGAGAAGATGGTGGAGTCCACTCCATTGTCTTGTTGCTTGGGGGAGAAGGGGTTGGTAAAAGTATGAGGAAGACATAAGAGATCTTGAAAAAGTTCAAGGACAATGTATATTCTAAGAAAACTGGGATGGCTCCTTGGACTGGTAGTTAAAGGAGTGAGATTCCACATGGCCAATGATGCAGTTTGAATCTCAGTCCTGGACGCTTAAAAAAGCATGCTAGTCCTGGGGACCAGCAGTTAGCGTAATGGCTATGTCACTGGACTCCCACGTAGTTGACCGTGGTTCGCGTCCCGGACCCAGTGGCTTGAACTCACGCCTGGCGCGTGTGCGTGTGTGCCCAAGATCCCGAGAGGAGAATGGAGAAGGGATTGCGGCGTGACCATCCCCTCTGGGGGGTGATTTCTCGCTTTCTGTCTCTCTGTCTCTCTCTGTCTCTGTCTGTCTGGCGAGCACATGCGCCCTATGGCAAAAACCTTCCAAAAAAAAAAAGCAAAAAAAAAAGCATGCTAGTCCTGTGTGCATGCATGTCCAAAATCCCTACAGCATGGAGAATGGAGAAGTAACTGGCGTGGCCATGCCCCTAGGAGGTGCTTTCCCCCTTTCTCTCTCTATTTCTCTGTCTCTCTCTATCTCTCTGTCTCTCTCTGATGAGTACATGTGCCCTCCAGCAAATTAAAAAAAAAAAAACGAAACTATACATATATTTCAAAGTTTCTTTCCATCAAAAATAAAGTTGTGCTTCGGGGACCAGCAGTTAGCGTAATGGCTATGTCGCTGGACTCCCACGTAGTCGACCGCGGTTCATGTCCCGGACCCGGTGGCTTAAAACTCACGCCGGGCGCGTGTGCGTGCGTGCCCAAGATCCCGAGAGGAGAATGGAGGAGAAGGGATTGTGGCGTGACCATCCCCCCTGGGGGGTGATTTCTCGCTTTCTGTTTCTATGTCTCTCTCTGTCTGTCTGGCGAGCGCACGCGCCCTATAGCGAAAATCTCTCCAAAAAAAAAAAAATAAATAAATAAGATAAAGTTGTGCTTTAATTCCATTTTCCCATGGATTTTTAAAAAGTTTGCTTATGCATTTCTTCTTTGAGCAGATAAGAGAAAGAGAGCACCCCAGTGAGGTCCTGATGCCGTGATTCAGCCCCAGTTTTCGGGCAAGCGTGTGCCCAGAATTCTCAGGGAGGTCTCTAGACTTGAACTGGGATTGCCTTGCAGAGCATTGCATCTCACTGCTGGTTCCTCATCTGTCCCCTTTCTACAGACTTCATGAAGTCCCCTTGTACTGGCTAGCCTGCTCCAGTTTTGGTGACAGAGGAACATGAGGGCCGCTCGGTCAGAGAGAGATTACCACTGAAACCCAAAATGCCACGCTGGTGCTGAGTGCTTATTTCAGGACACACACTTCTCTCTGTTTCTGCTTTATTTCTGACTGTGGTTGGGTGACCGACTGATCCAGTGGACAGGCCAGGAGGAAGGCGGCCCTTGCTTTCCAGCTTCCAAGCCAGACTTCTGAAGTGAGCAGTAAACCTTCCCTTTCTATCCCTGGCCACAAAAGCCTGGCCCGTGCTGTGTGCCTTTCCTCCTGACCATCTGTTCCTCTGCCCCCTCCACTGCGATACAGCCCTTGGGCGACTAAATCGCTGGCATGCCGCCGCCAGCTCGGTCACCTCTTTCGCAAATGCATCTTTAGATACTGCTCCAGGAGGCCCTGCAGGTTTTCATTTGTTGTTGTTTTTTAAAGCTGATTGCACTTTTTTATTAAAAGGAAACTTCAACTTTTCCTCCTTCTATTGACTTTCTTTCTTTTTAAATTTACTATAGGGTACGAGATCAGCAGTTGGCATAATGGCTATGTCACTGGACTCCCATGTAGCTGACTGTGGTTCGAATCCTAGATCCGGTGGCTTAAACTCACACCAGGCACGTGTGCGTGCATACCCAAGATCCCAAGAGGAGAATGGAGGAGAAGGGATTGTGGCGTGGCCATTCCCTCTGGGGGGTGATTTCTCACTGTCTCTCTGTCTCTCTCTGTCTTTCTGGCGAGTGCGCACACCCTATAGCAAAAATCCCCCCCCCAATTTTTTTTAATTAAAAATTATATTTACTATAGAGTGTGATCAGCAGACATAGGGAGGGACAGAGAAAATGGGAAAGTATCTCCCCCAGGAGGGATGGCTAGACCCCAATCCCTTCTCCAATCTCCTCTTGGGATTTTAGGCATTCACACACACACGGCCGGTGTGTTTTTCAGGTCCCCGGGTCCAGGTCACAAACAAGCAGCAATGAGGCAGCAGTCAGCCCTATGGGATCTAGTCTCAACCACCACACCACCTGGTCGGCCCCCCACGTTATTTTTATTTTCCTTTTTATTCACGACAGAGTGCATGCGCACATGTGGGAGTGAGCGAGAGAGAGCGAGCAGCACTCTCCAAACGGTCAGGTCACAATCCTGGGTGATCCCCTTCCCTGGTTCTCCAGCCTGCTGGGCACCTGGCCACATGCCTGATGTGTTTCAGGCCAGGACCAGGATTCGAACCATAGTCACCAAATGGGATCCAACATTCATAAGCAGTACATTTGATGCTGTTACACCTCAGGGCCAGCCCTTATTCACTGTCAATTAATCCACATTTCTATATATTTGTGATGTACAACCTGATTTTATTTTTGTTTATTTTTGTAGAGAGATTTTTGCTATAGGGCTCATATACTTACCAGAGACAGAGAGAGAGAAAGTGAGAAATCACCCCCACCCTGGGAGGTAGCCATACACTGCAACCCCTTCTCCTCCATTCTCCTCTTGGGATTTTGGGCACGCACACACACGCGCCCAGCATGAGTTTCAAGCCCCCAGGTCCAGGATTCAAACCGTGGTCGGCCACGTGGGAGTCCAGCACCACAACCACTATGCTACCTGCTGTCCCCAACCTAATATTTTAATATATGTACTCTTTGAAGAATGGTGAAATCAAGGTAATTACCTCACATATTTATCATATTTTTGTGGTGAGAACATTTAAAATCTACTCTTAACAATTTTCAAGTACACACTTTTATTTTTTAAGAGGTTTTTGCTATAGGGTGCATGTGCTTGCCAGACAGACAGAGAGAGACAGAGA